TCTACACCTATCCTGAGCTACAGTTTCGTAGCCATTAGAAACGGCTATTTGCCGTGCCAAGTTCCGGGACTCCTCTCTCTGCTCTCTTCCCGTGCACACGTTGGTTGCTGTTCGAAACATGTTTCTTATAAGCGCCCTTTTCGTGTGAGAGGGGTGAGAGGAGAGGTAATGAACCAAGATATTTTTACTACTTGGCTTTCGGTACCACTTTGTAATGTAGCCATTTTCTGATAGGTGAATTTGTACGTTAAAAAATGGAAGCCATTTTTCTTTCGGCTTTTCTCGGGTGAACTTGATTTACTCTGACTGTGCGTTTAACAATTCGAAGCATTTGTCCATTTCCTCTTGTGTTGAGCAAAGGACAAAGCAGTCGTCTACATACCTACAGCAGAGTAGCGGCCCGAGATCAGTCACCGGTGCTTCCACCTTAGACATAAATGCAATGGCAAGGCTTGGAGCCAGTCGTTGTACCATTGCCAACCCTCTTATTTGAGCGTAGTACTTTCCAGACCATCTGAAGATTGAGCAGCTCAAGCATTCTTTTAAGAGTGCCATCAGGTGCTCTATCCTGAAGCCATACATGTTTATTTCTCCTTCGTGTTGTGTAAGGAGTTCGAATATGGCTTGCATTGCGGAGTCATCCGACACGTTTGTATAAAGGGCGGTAACGTCGAAGGACTCCATCACGCACGCGCTGTTGGGCTGCGCAGTACGTAGACGATCCAGAAACATCTGGGTATTCGTAAGATGGGCTGGAATGTGTTTCAACAACTGGTTAAATATTAGGGTTAAAAACCATGTTATAATTATATATCCACCATCAGCATCGTGTATAAAAGGGCATTACTGAGTGACGATGCCTCATTCGATTCGAGAAGATGGCTCACTGAGGAAGACCTGGCTCGACACGAAGGCGAAGCTGCAACGTCAAGACGAACAACAATCATGGACCATCGGCTCTGAGGAAGGCGAAAACGTCGAAACGTTAGCCGAAAATAAATATATTTATCAACCTCGTGCAAGCTTATCAAGAAAGAATACATATTGATTAGTCACACCGAGGTTTAGAGAAAGTCGGTTTCGAAATATTCCTAAAATCCTCTGGCAGATGTCTATGCAAACTCACATAGTCCTTTCATGAAGACTTATGAAGTGGCAATAATTTGTCGATGAGAACATCTCTGAAATTCGGAGCAGATTTCTCGAAAATCCATTCTCCATGAGAAATATGAAATTCGTTTCATAATACAGATATTAAATACTTTAGAATGAATTGTCAGGTATAATAAGTGCAGGATACGTAAAGAAAGCGTTCATCCACTAACTTTTTTTTCAATAAGCGCACACAAGGTTGTTATTATACTCTATTCACAAAGGCTGACAGTTCGGCAGGAATCGCCTTCTTCAGGGTCTGCTAGCCTAATAGCATTGATATTTAGAGGTTACTTCTTTACATCTTACAACCGAAACTAATTCCTTACGTAAAAAGTAACCATGTAGTTTCTTAATACAGCTTTTATTAAACCTTGGAAAAAATATCTAATACGTTCTCCGACTATTAAGCTGACACGAGGTTGGTAAAAAACGATTTATTTGACTAATGTGTTGGCGCCTTCGCCTTGTTCGCAGCCGAAGTGATCTGAGCGGTTGCGTCCACAAATGGTCGTCCTCGCGATGATAGTGTACGTGTGAAGTGGAACAGTGAGCGAATAAAGTTTTCACACTCTACGGTGTCCTTCCATAGAGGACGGTTGTTTAGCTGTTGCGGCCATCCAATATGATCTACATTTTTGACGGTAGTGCATCTTGCAGCAGTCGGCGTTTCACCAGCTGGCACATATTATCTGTTAAAAGTTGTGCAGAACTCCGGACCGCAGGTGTCTGCAGTGGAGAACGAATGCGCTATTACCCTTTCCGGGGTCTAACGCGTTCACCATCAGACCATACGTGTCCTTCATTTCGCCTTTCTGTTGTATTCCTTTTTCTGTAAAATTTTAATAGGCAGTAAATAAAAAGTTAACATTGTGGTTCCGGCTACGACCTTATCTTGACCGAGTTCACGGCCGATTTGGACTTCTCAGATCAATCGCATTGACGAGTGATGGCTGATAGCGCTGATAGATAGAAATCTAGCTGAGAGGAAGTCGAAACGAAAAACCCGCATGGTGTGATGTGGACGCGTTAGACGCCAGAGAGGATAATAGCTCGTTAGTTCCCCACCGTAGGCACCTGCGGTCCGGAATTTTGCAAATATCTTAGCACCATTGTGATTTTACCACATATAATACCCTGCCGTGATAAATTGTTATAGGCAGTGAATAGAAAGGTAACATTATCAAAAGTTCTGTTTCCCTCTTCTCTTTTCTTTTTCTCTTTTCCGTATTGCTGGTTGTTTTTGAACTTCACGCTTTGCGTAAAAATGAGTCTAACAGAAGTGACTAACAGACGTCACAGCTACTGCAAGTGACTAAGTAGAAGTCGTTGTCCGAATTTGATGATAACTAGATGAAGAAGGCAGAGAAAGCTATTTGTGACCAAAGTTTTTTAAAATCAAGCTTTATAAGTTTCAGACGTCACTGGTGTCACGGCCGGCCTTGGGTTCGTTTCCGCGTCATGATTTCCCAGATATTCTTGCAAAAGCGTTAACATCAATTGCGCCGAAAGGACTTCAGGTTAATTCTTATTCGGCTACTTTTAAGATTATTTAGCAGTCGTGACATGTGAAATGTCTCTTATTTACCATAACTGACACAGGTATTCTTTCTTCTTCTTTCTTGTTCAGGGTATTCTTTCTGTCATATACAATTTTTACCTATAATTTCCTATTCCAAAACCTTTGGTATATGGCGACCAACTTGATATCTTGTAGTTGACTAGCCGTCATCATGAAAAATAACTTCACGTAGCAGTACCACATTCCATTTGACCGGTTTGTTACTTTAAAACCATGGCTGATGACCACTATCAGTTATGCAGCGCGACAAGTCTCAGGTTTTTGTAAGCTTAAAGCCACGTGGAATCTAATTAGCTGGTGAAAGTTCAGCACGGGCCAAAATGAGCACGTGGTTGTTGTATTATGATGCAAACGGTTCCACATTGGCTTTCATGAGGTTCTGCTATAGCGAAGACTAATAGGCTTATTTTCTGTGCCTTTAATCGCTATGTGCACGGATGTATTTGGTGGATTTGGACTTTGTCCTACACATCTTTTGGGCCAAAATCAGTTGATTATGGAGCGTTTCGATGTAGACTCGAAAAAGGCGCTTGTCTAAAATGGAAGGGCGCAATAAGTTAGTCATCCACGAGCGAACTTAGTCCTACAGCAGAGCTGTATGGATAACCCATCATTTGTTAACGTTGTTTCTCATTAAAGAAAAACTGAGTAATAAAGTCCATGCGAAAATTGTGGTAGTTCTGGTGTCCCTTAAAAGAGTAAAGCCGAAAGAGAACAAGAAAAAGGTGAATGTGAGCAAGAAACCATCCACTGCCCACATTTACTGGGTAACGAAGACAGAAACAATGGTTATTATTGTTTAACGTTTTGTTTTCTGCCTTCTATAATTTTCATGGCAGGTTACTAAGCGAAATACAACCACAACGTTGCTGAGATATTTGCAAAACTCTGGACCGCAGGTGTCTATGGTGGGGAACGAACGCGCTATTATCCTTTCCGGGGAGTAACGCGTTCACCACCACACCATGCGGGTCCTTTGTTTCGCACGTCTCTCAGCTATTTCTATCGATCTTTTTGCCACAGCAATCACCCGGCAATAATGGTTATTATTATTCTGCACAGTAGGGTGAGTGGGAGGTGGTGCACAAGACGCAGAAACGTAACGATCTGTTGAAAAAGAAGAACTTGGCGTTTATTTAACAAAAAAAGTTCTAGAAAATGTGACCATGGAACTCTGGTGAAAGAAAAATTAGTGTGTGACCAAGAGTAACGCATAATATTGCTATAAAACGAGGAATAAAGAGCTCCGGTGATGATTCTCATGGAACGAAAAGCTGTATATAACCACTGCCATTGTGATTATTCCACGAATCTATTTTCTAGGCGGCTCAAACGATGCTGTGTGGGACATCTGCTAATGAAAACGCCATAAAAACGGCCTTCATTTGGTGAGTAGATTCATTACTTCGGTTTCGCTTTCGTGTGACTATTACCTCTTGATATCTACATCTGTTCTAGTTTATCTATTGGCTATATTTTATTATAAGAGTATATTAAATTCTTGACCGGTTGTGACTGAGCGGTGACATATCATACGAATTGACTACTTAGAAAAAAGTTACCTGAACATTTCAATGGCCCTTCCTTGACCGCTGACGAATAATAGAAAAAAGTTATTTGAACACTTCAATGGCCTTTCCTTGAGCGCTGACGAATAATGATGAGGGCTCCAGCACAAATCTCATTTGAATGTGAATTTGCTGGTGACGCAAGATTTTTTTTAGTAGTTCTTCGGAAACCATACTAGGTATATTCTTGCCATCACTAAATGCCACCTACGACGATGTTGTTGCGAAGATGACAATGATCCTTAGCACTTGATGAACCTTAGCTACTTAGTGGAAATTTTGGACTCCTTCTCCTCCTTCGTTGCCCTTCTCTCGTGGTGATGTTGGGCTTCGAAGTCCGAGACCATTCGCTTTCTAGCGGGTTATAACAGATTTCTCCTTGCACTAAAATAGAAAAATATTTTAAGTGAGACCGACGGGTTGCAGAATGAGAATTCGCATCAATGGCTTTGAGATATTGGACTTCCACGGCTTCCAGAATTCTGTTCAAAAATTCCAAATACTGGAAATCAATTAATTTAGGTACATGACAAATCGTCGCGGAGGAAATCCACCCGATGAGGCAGCGCTCACTAGTTGCATGTTTCAGAAACAACCTGGCACACCAAGACTTTCCGTACTTGGTTTTCAGGTGTTTCTTTACAACTCAGTAGAAAAAACTGAATTTAAGATAGGAATTTTCATAATCGACTTTTTCAGGGCGCTTTTCACGGGAGATCGCTTTGCATGTTGTCAGTAACGCGAAGTAAAGCCGTACACAAGGTTTACAATTTTTGTTTTCTCCTCTTGCCAATATATTACCAGTGTTCTACTTGACTAAAGTGATCAGAAAATTTTTATCCATGTTCCTCATATAATAGTAGTGTGTGATAATACAACTTGATGAAATTCATCTTCTAAAATCCGATGATTTCGCCGAAACGATGATCAACGAAGGACGTCTGTTAAATATCCAGATAGAAAAGCTACATGTGAGCTAAACTTTTCTTAGCTAAACGTCGTAACCGGCCAAATAGCCTCATGTTTTTTACCTTTTTTGCTCATCTATTATGTTTTTTTTTGGATCATCTAGAAGAGTGATCTAATGCATGTTTTGCATTGCTATGTAGAAATTTAAACTCAAACTATGATTCTTCGTATTTTTGTTGAGCAAACACGAGATGTTACTATTCTTTATTCACGAACAAGCCGACGTTTCGGCGGATTTCGCCCTCCTCAGAGCCTGGAAAGGTCAAGTTGAAACTCAAAATATGATCTGTTGAAGGAAAACGAAAACAGTGGCATCGGTTTTGCGGTCAAGTAAAACGACTATTATGCTAAGTTCATAGTATGTAAGGAACAGAATCTTGGTATTACCCAAGTCAGCAAATTAGCCAAAGTAATGTTGCAGTAGGGCGCGTGTGGCGCAGTGGTTAGAGGCGCCACTCCGACACACGTAGAATCGATCTCCGCGCCCATGGCCCACCAAGCATTCCATCCCTCCGGGGTTGGAAAATTGGTACCGGACTTGTCTGGGAGGATAGCAGCACTGACTTGCCTACATCGGTAGGCCACCGTGAATCATTGTAAAGGCCAGATATGCATTCAGTCACCTCGAGCGATGCTTAATGAAGTCGAATGCGTGCCGAATCCCTTAAGGAATAATCATGTTACCGAAAATTCACTTACAACGGCACTGTAAAACGACCAATAAAATCTGCAGCACTCTGTCAAGTCTTTTATAAGTACTTTTTCTGCCCTATTCATCCTTTTCTTCGTGCACTAGTTTGATTTCTGAACTTCAGTGCTCTTTGTAAACGTTACTGTTGAATGCTTGTATTGCATAGGCAAAAGAAAAATTAGGGTGGCAATGTATAACCACAAGGTTGTTGTGATATGAGCAAATCGTGACCTCAGGCGCGCTCTTTGCAGGGCGCACGTGTCGGCCACTGTACCAGCCGAGGCTCTTGCTTTTTCCGAGTGCCGGTTTTTTTATTCAAGCGGTGCTATCATCCACCAACAGGAGTGCAGCCTCGGCTTAACTGGGCTCACCGGCGATTTGTGCTCTCCCTCTTCAATCATTCCGGCTGAAGCGTGATTGTTGGTAGCACCGTCAAGGTAAACGTCAGGGTAAAAAACTGACCTAGAAAAAGGTAAAGCGAGGTACTCGGTTGGTGTACTAAGTAATACGTGATCCTTGGTAAGAGAAACCACAGGTTCGAAGCGCACCTGAGGTTCTGAGTTTTGCTCTTGTCTGAGCATCCTTATGATTGTATTTCATTTATACCATACCATGAAAAGGAATATGCAGTAATTAAAAATTAAAACAAAGTGGCAGTATAGGTCGAGGTTCTCTTTTTCGACAGTGTTTCAGAAGGTAAATTCAGTTAGAATAGAGGACTTGTTCAAAAATATTGCTGTGGCAAAGATCGATAGAACTACCAGAGAGACAGGCGAAACGAAGGACCCGCATGGTGTGGTGGTGAGCGCGTTACTCCCCGGAAAGGACAATAGCGCGTTCGTTTTCCACCGCAGTCACCTGCGGTCCGGAGTTTTTCAAATATCTCAGCATCATTGAAGTTGTTTGGATATTTTGTCGAGCACATCGTCAGTACAATATCATATTGGCCTTCACTATGTGATTCAATCGCAAAAGTGGGTGTTTACAGGTAGATATTCCTGCTTTTGACTGGCCTATCGCCAAGTTTCCACGTTATAAGTATCCGTTAGCAAGTAATCAAACATATAACGATGCTCAAGACAAGGAATGTCTACAAGATGTTCAGGAAAAGATCGATGAATGGAAGAGAAAGGTAGACGTACTTTTTTTCACGTTTTTCGTATATCGGTTTATATTTGACAAGTTCTTTTTATTACTCTGATAGATCGTGGTATCTTTAACACAAGAAGTATCTACACGAATGCTAGTGTTTCTAAACACCGGCTAGTCCTCAGATTGATGTTGATGTCTAAATATTCACTATAATTGAAGGTAGTCGAAGTAATTGATAAGTTCGACGTGATTTTCTGTTTCACCCATTCGCGACTGTATGGGCACTGTAATCTTCATAACCGAATGCAGATCAGTCAGTGTAGGATGGGTGAGACCAGAACCAGAAAACCATTCTTTACATCTAATGGTTCACAAAAAACGTTTTTTCGAAGAAGTTCATTGACCACCGGTTTGATTAATAATTAATTGTTATTTTATTTTAATCGCTGAGGTTATTGTACAGAGAAGTGGGAGTATAAAAAACACCGAAACAGACCCAGCATAAGGTGCAAAATGCTTCCCAATGCCGATAGCAATGTATTTACATGATGAAGCACAATAACATATAGTAAATACTAACATACATATCATAAGGTGTAGTAAATGTTGGCATGCATGTATAAATGTTGAACTCGGGCCCCACAGACTCGGATTAACGCGGCTCTGAAGTAAACGAAGTGACGATGTCTAAACAAGAGCCAAGTATAACTATTACCAATTTCATCTTGGTTAAATAGTCTAGAAATGATAACATGCATATTATTTGTGCCCATAAAACATAGAGTGGTCTCTTCTGAAATCCTGTAATGTTCACACGCCCACAATAAACTTAGCTATTGAAAAATTGTTTTCATCGTGACAAAACCAGCAAGTCCGCAAATGACGAAGAATTGCTCACATGTATTGCCTAGGGCAAACCACAAAAATAGAGTACCCTCGCTAATGGGTAAGCCAAAACTCTGTTTAAAATTGTTGAATGAAAATTGAGTGTTTGTTTTACTTCATTTACAAACGGCTGTTCGTGTTTCTTCTTTATAGTCTTTAATATAGGTAGAAACAGATTTTTTAATGTCTAACGGACGATGCGCATTGTGGACAACCACACATGGCAAAATATAGTTGCGCTTTTTAACTATAAACAACAATATTTCAGCTCATGACAGATTGTATTAAATGTAATAAAACCCATTGGGATCTACGAATCTCTAGATAAAGGATAAAGGATAAAGCTCTCGGCGTTGACCAATCCCTTAGGGATGCGCCATGCATTCGACTTCTTTAAGCATCGTTTTGAGGTGATTGAATGCGGATGCTTTACAATGACTCGCAATGGCCTACCGATTTGTCGAGCCAGTGCTGCTATCCTCCCAGACAAGTCTGGAACCAATTTGTCCTACCCCGGAAAGATGGAAGGCTTTGTGGGCCAGGGCGCGCGAATCGACCATGTGTGTATTGCAGGCCGCTTCCGACCACTGCGCCTCACGCGCCCATAAATCTTTGGTTGCCTAAAGGATTTAAGCCTTTATATTCTACACCGATGAAATTCTTTTTTATTGGGACTAATTCCGACGAATTTTTGCGCTCCTTTAAATCGAAGGTTGCATTTCGAATATCAAAGTGATTCAAAAGTTGGCATGTTGTATTATGAAACAAGATCGTGTTCCCCAATATGCCTTGAAGTTTGCCACTGTCTCACTTGCTCAACTTTAAGATCTCCAAAATTCGAATTTCTCTTCCAGTTTTTTGTCTGTTTGGACTTTAAACGGATTTGAAATTAAGAGGAACATTTATGAAACCACTTACATACCTAGATCATCAATGCGGAACCTGCCATTCTAGGCTACTCTGTTCTCAGCTTCTCACCGCTCTAACTTTTTAACGTTTATCGGCAGTCGTAAAAATGTTAATATGGCGCAATTTAGGGTAATAATGGTGTATACTATTAAATTTCTGTGGACCTTCGACTCGAATGAAGACGTCGAAACGTTAGCGGAGAAATGATGTTTATCAGCCTCGTGTGAGCTCATAAACTAAAACGTATTAAGTTACTGTTTATTATCAGTGTCAGAAAACCGTAGATTCTCGTAGAGAACGCTTTCTTGCCGTATGAACCATTTTACCATTCTCTTTCTTTTCATACTTCACCTGGTTTAAGTGGTATTTTAGGTGTTTTTTTATTTCATAGAAGCTCTATAACTCACCACAATGTGGAGTCAGAGTAAGAACGCCTGCGATACTCCTGTGATGTCCAAATTTTTCGTTTTAGTCTTATTTTTCTACCATTGTAGTAGTATCCTTTTACATGGAAAGGCGTGCATGGGTCGCGTAGGATATCAAACATGATCGGTTCTGCATGGAATTCCAAAGCAGTCACTGTGGTGTTGAATTTGTACAATCATTATTTTCAGGATCATGATGTTGCAGCGATAATCGTGGAACCTATACAGGCTGAGGGTGGCGACAACTACGGTAGCCCGGTTTTCTTCCAAAAGCTGCAAAAAATCGCTGCTGATAAAGGGATCTGCTTTATCGTCGACGAGGCAAGACACAGTGATTGATTGATTGTGAGAAATCTTGCTTTTACAGCTTTGTGGTAGTACCTATTATTGTGCCACGATTGTCGTAAAATTTAAAATGTTGAGTGGCTCTTAAAAAATGAAGGAGCATGATGTCACAGTTTTTGTAGAAAGGGAAGGACAGAAAGAAGGTTTCAATAAAGTGAACGAAGTTGATCATTAACTTTTATTTGCTTACGTAAACATCAGATCGACTGCATTGAAATCTAATGACAACCTTCAACTAACGCGACAGCTTCTAGTTCAAGAAATTCCGGCTTCAGGTACAAACTGGCGGAGGAGGGACGGGCGACATGTGGGCGCATAGCCATTGGAACCTTTCCTCACCACCAGATATCGTCACATTTTCGAAAAAGCTCATCACCGGCGGTTATTTTTACAAAGAAAATCTCCGAATCAAAGAGGTTCGTGCAGTGTTGAGAATGTACGAGAGATAGCAGGACACTCTATTTGCCTTGTTATTACAACCGCTTTCAAAGAAAAAGATAAGCTTCTCTATCCCACCTTATAGACTTAAGATGCGTGGTAACTCAAATGTGATGACTTTTTGAACAATTCTAAATGTCTATGACTTATTGAATCCGATGTTTTCCATCTTTGTAGGTAATGACCTCATGTAAAAGAATGCATATTCTTGTTTCATAATTTTTCTACATAGTTCGGCATTCTCTATTTTCTCCTCACCTTACTGTTTTGATATTTAATATCATGAGTTCACGATATAGTAAACCATTTGAGGCGTACCGGATCTACAACACATGGATGGGTGATCCAACGAAACTGTTCCTTCTTCTAAAGGTGATTGAAGTGATCAAGCGAGACGGTCTGATAGAAAAGACCAGATCGGTCGGAGAGGTGTTTCAAAAAGAGCTGACAAGATTACAGGTAATAGACAAAGCTCTGTAAAGTTTTCTTTCAGAAAGTGGTTAAATGAAACTACCGTAATGGCTAAGAAAATAGACACAACAACCATAATCCTTTTGGTAGCAAAACTATCTTCACAATGAAATGATGATCAGGTAAGTTGTTAGTTATATATCCTTTCTACTAGTTAACATGGCTGTGATTTTAAGAGAACAACACTCATTTTTATTCATGAAGACTGAGTGAGTCCCTGGAAAACAGAACTTTCGTGGTCCATTATGAGTCGTTTTGCAATCATACATGGGAGACATGTACGCGGGCCTGAATTTGTATCAACTCGCTTTCTTCTCCGTCGTTTATTTTGTCGCACAGAGATTTTTTGCTGCAGTCTTTAAAGTTGGTAGGTAATTTAACTCAGACCAGTGTAACAGGCGTCGGGACAGTAAAACTGCTCTTCACATTTAAGGACATATAATAATAACTTCGCGCGAAAATGTTCGTTGCATCATAGAGAGCATTGCTCTTACGAGGGGTATAAAAGGATAAAGGATAACGCTCTCGGCGTTGATCAATCCATGAGGGTTGCACCATGCATTTGACTTCATCAAGCATCGTTTGGAGGTGATTGAATGCATATCTGGCCATTACAATGACTCGCGGTGGCCTACCAATGTGTCGACCAGTGTTGCGATCCTCCCAGACAACTCCGGTACCAATTTTTCGACCCCGGAATTATGGAAGGCTTGGTGAGTCATGGGAGCGGTGACCGTTTCCACGTGAATGTTGCAGGGCGCCTCCGACCACTGCGCCACACACGCCTTGGTAAGGGTACACGCTGCAAAAATAGCGAGGTTAGTGCTGTTCAAAGTGCATAATCAATGTCTACTTAAACTGTGAAGGTGACTACTGGCATGTTATTGTAAACATTACCAGAACACTAACGTAAGTACTGATGATATTTTGAAAGATACTTTTGCATTTACTCCGAGCTAGACTTTTTTATTTTAGTGTGTGCAATTCCTTAGGTATAGAAGCTAGGAGAAGCCAACAGTGATGTTTCGCCACCGGTTTGTCGTATTTACGTTTTACGGATGCAGTTGTGTCATAGAATATGCATTTCTTTACTACCACAACGCCAAAGATGACACCACTCCACGCGGATCACAGCACTTCTTGCATTCGAGTAGTTTTCTCGCATCTACCATCCACTAAGGTCTTCGAACTTTTTTACGCATAGATTTTGTTGCTCCTTGGGGATTTCTTCGTCTTTGTCACGAAAGTCGTTGAAGACTGGACCAGTCGATTCTCCGTGGAATCCTGAAATGCCATGCTAGAATGTATCCACGTTTCTTGGAGAGTCAGCCTGTTTCAAACCATCTTGGTAGCCATTTCCGTACCTCGGACGGTGGAGAGGTTTACTATGCACAGTGAGGGCTCATACTCGTTTGGACCGTCTTAGCAGTGAACGGTACAACTACTGCTGCCCTACCTTCTCTATTTGGAAGTTGTGAGAATTAAAATGGCTACACAAATACACTGCCATGATCGAAACTCGGTAGACTTTGAGTTTCAGTGATCTTTGTTGTGAAAAACTTTCTGTTGCAGTCCGTACACTCGTCGAAGCTGTCCCAGGCTCGTGGACTAGGAACATTTGCCTCCGTCGATTTTCCAACAGCAGCCCAGAGGGATAAACTTGTTGAAAAGGTTTGTAATAGTCTTAACTAATCTTTAATCACATTATACTTCCACGTGATTTCTGTGCGGTTGGTCTCTACGTGACATACTTAGTGGAAACCTCATAGGAAGGGGCTCTGAGGAAGGCGAAATCCGCCGAAATGTCAGCTTAATCGTGAACAAAGAATAGTAACACCTCGCGTTTGCTCAACAAAAATACGAAGAAAATCACCTAATCTTTAATATTACGGAATGCTTAAAATTGTTCAGATAATTTGCGAAATTTTGACCAAGATGTACTATTATGGTCGTTTTATTTGTCATGTTAATGCATTTTTTGCTGTGCTTCTACTTTACTGCTATCTGTCGTGTTTTGTCTTCGTAAAAATGTCACCGGAAATATATCTTATCCAAGTTTTAGGCTATTGCTCTCGGTCTTCATTGTGGTGGATGTGGTGATAAGTCACTTCGTTTTCGACCATCACTGGTATTCGAGAAGAAGCACGTCGAAATCACTTTTGAATTGCTTGATAAGGCCCTTAAACAATTATAGGCTGTTATGAATATTACTTGTAAATAAAATTTCTTGTTTCACTGCTTGTTTTCTGTGTTTAAGTCTGCGTTTGAAGAGTCTATTCGCTCCCATTTATCTTACCGTTTCTATGGCAGTCTCGCTTCAGCTTTTGCCAGTTTCTTAATCCCCATTATGAATCGTTCGGCAATTTGTATTTTTTTCTACAACGTTCTGTAGATGGGTGTCATTTTTCTACACTAAAAGAGCCCTTGTGAGCGAAGTAAAATGAAATTGGCATTTTAAGCATAATGAACTACTGAACCTTGCTCTCTAATGTTGTTCCGCTAAGTTTTCGCTGTGATTTTCCACCGAATGTTCAACATGTTTCTTATGCCGTCATTTAACTTTATTTCTATCAAGCCGTAGGTAGTCAAGAGTTATTCACCTATTAAAATACAATCGAACTTCACTGTTTGCTAAATGGTTCCCATGTTTTGCTTCCTACTGACTAAGTAGAAAAATAAACAGAAAAAAGGATAAAACTCTCGGCGTTGATCCATCGCTGAGGAATTCACCATGCATTCGACTTCATCATGCATCGTTAGAAGTGATTGAGTGCATTTTCGACCTTTACAATAACTCGTGATCGCCTATCGATGTATCGATCCTAGACAACACTGGTACCAATTTGCGGAACCCGGAGTGATGGAAGACTTAGTGAGGCTGGAGCGTGGGATCGATCGCATATGTATTGCAGGGCGTCTCTAATCACTGCGCTACCCAAGTGGAAAAAGAAGTAAACAAAATGCGAAAAATTCCTTCTTTGGGAAGAATATGTCTAAAAGTGGGTCATATATTGCTCTTATTTTAAATGGTTTCACATAGATACGCATTGACATATCTACTTCATGTGAAGTATCCTGGACAATCTTCAAGAACACGTGACGTGTTCACAGGTACTACACAAGGAGTTAGATGGCTATCAATGCGGATGGGCTGTTTAATATCTCTTCCCAAGAAGGATGAACTTAAGCAATAGGGCTTAGGCCTGGGTTGTGCGGATTGACTTATAACACTTCTCGTGAACAGCTAATCATATTCATGTATACGTAATCGGAGCGTACTTGCATGCTGTTGCTTTTATCCTGGACATCGATTCGGCCAAAAGCTTGGAATAAAGAGGCACATAAAGGATGGTTAGGAATGACTACCAACAAATTTCTATCATGTCTACTCTAGAAGGGATCAACAAGCCACTCAAGAGTGTGCCCAGCTCCTCCAGTTAGAATTCAGCAAGTGGCACACCAACTAATCGTAGTTGCCATATTGCTCGCCAAAAAGCAATGAAAACAAGTGCCATAACGTGAAAAATATGGCTTTTGTCAAGCTCTTCTAGTGAGCTTAGTCAGTTGGGCACCCATGACGCCAAAGCAAATGACTAGAGAGTTTTTTAAAACATTTCCTCTAAGGACAGGATCGTTTTTTCCAGTTTAGCACATCTCTGCCTTGTTCACAAATTTCTTCTATTTAAGAGTTTCATATCTCTCGTAAGTTATTTGGTATCTTCATCAATCCTATCACACATTGTGCTATTCTCCACGTGGTATTAGTTTATCTAACGTTCTCAATTATTCAGACATAGATATTATCACCTCATAGTTGAAATAATCAATGAAAGGGAACCGAGTGGGCATTCCAGCAAGGTCTCTACAGCTAGAGACTAATTGGCTTCGTCTCCTTGAAGAATACTAAGAACACTAAACACTACAGTTTTTATATGACGCTGTGTATTTCTTCTCTTTTAAGCCGAAATAATGGTGGATATAGTCACTGGTAGCTTTTTGTATTCTCGAAAATTAGCATAAGGCCTCGTATATTGTGGGTACTACCGCACTTTGTGTCCTATGCTTTTTGGTCTCTTGACAGTTATAATACAATTAATATGTAATTTTAATATATCTGGTGAAAGAAACGCCGTCATAACATTGGGTTAATCGGCAACTAACGGCGAACTTTCAACTGCAAATTTAAAGTGGCTCTCCTTAGATCCTAATGAACTTTAAAATTATGAGAACCTAGAGATTTTTACCAAGGAAAAGAAGTGTACTTGCACCAGTTGCTTGAGATTCCGAACTTCTGGAAGCGATGAAGTCGTTGAAGCCAATTTCGGCCTCGCCCTAGTCTCTAGAGTATTTCTGGCATAGGATGTCTTAGAGATAGTTAAAGGAGCGGTAATCGATAGGTTAGAAGTCTGGTGAGCATGATGGATGAGGAAAGTTTTGTAGCCGAGCCCATTCATCTTCTGCGGCATCGGTTGGACCATGTTTTGGTTCCTTGTTATCATAGAGGATTGCTCATCTTCTGTTACACAATGAGTAAGCGGCCGTTGAAGTTTCTGATGGATCTCGTCGACTTGCTGGATGTACCCTCTCCACCGTAATTGTTTCACAGCGATTCAGGAAGCTGTGGTAGACTAAACGAGATGTAGATGGCATCACGATGTTCTTTTGGTGGAATTTTGACTTCGGGAAATACTGAAGAGCTTCATCGCTTTCCAAGCAATGGGCCGATCGTCACTGGTTGTCGAAGAGGATCCATTTCTCGTCGTACATGACAACACACTCGATAAGTGGGTCGTTCAGGTTAAGTTACCTCCGACGATACATCAAAATTTCTTTGATTTTACAAAACTTCGAACACGCGGTTACTCTTCGCAGCGGATCACGTGTTATTCACCTCAGCAACCGAGGCCCTTGTTTTGCCTATCAGCCGTGCTATTAACCTATAGGCGCCATCAGCAATCACCCATCAACATGAATAATCTGCAGAGCAGAACTCAGTGCTGAACACAGGTAAGCTAAAGTTGCAATCGAAATCACGGTGTTCTAGCTTTTATTCCGTGCCTATTCTTTCATATTTAATTTTTCCTATATTCTCGTTTTATCTTTTCTTTTGTTTTTTCCGTGTCATCTGTTTTCATTTTCTTTTGCTTTTTTCTTTTTCTCCCTACTTTCTGTTTATTGCTGACAAGTAGGAAAAACAAGGGCTTCGGTTGATGAGGTGGATAACACGTGAGCCACCCTGAAGGGTACTCGCCGGTTGAAAACCATCCGATGTTCCGAGTTTTGCTCATATCTCAGCATTCTCATGGTTGTATTTCACACTGTACCCTGTCATAAAAAGTGAATAAACAGGGAATAAAAGTTGAAACATTCCCAAGATCGACTTTCTATTAACCAACGCATCGGTTGATAATCCATCGTTTTTCTTCGGTAAGCAAACACGAGATTGGTATTATAGAATTCATTAGCATGCAATAGCTGACGTTTCGGTGGTTTCGCCTTCTTCAGAGCCACTTTATTCTTTGTAAGTATTCCAGTTAATTGGTCAAGAGCAGCCACACAGTTCAATACATGGGCGAGGAATGATACGATAAGAGAAACGTTGGCTATTGTATGCTGACAAATTCTATAATGCCAACCTTGTGTTTGTTTATCGAAGAAAGACAGTTAAAACATTGTCACTTCACAATTTGTTTTCCACGATGATACCTTCCTACAAAATCCAATAAGTAACAATAATATGATCATGTATAAAGTGAGAAATTACGAAAAATATCCCAATTTATGTTGAGAGATGAGTGGAAGCGTTATCGATAAAGATGAACAACTCCTTAGTGATTTGGTTGGCCGAAATAGTCGTCATTGCTACTTCATCACGTAGTTTAAGCTCTCAGAAATAAATGACGGCTTTACGATTTTATTTTGTGTTAAATTCGTCCAATATGCACATTCGTTTTTTTCTCAAATATTATCTTAAATTGCCGAAATATTATCTTGGACACGTATTGAAATCCTACGAAGAACTGTGGTCAAATTGATACGAATGAGTGAATATTCAAGGATTCCAGTATTTTCCTAATACTTCACTTATAAATGCGCTATGATTGGTCTACTATAAGCGTTATAGATAGGCGTGAGCAGCGTAGTGGCTAGAGGTGCCCTGCAATATACACAGGATATAAGTCGTTGGTTCGATCCAATGCTCTAGGTTCACAAATCCTACCATCCTGCGAGGTCGGCAAATTGGTACCAAACTTGTCTAGGAGGATAGCAGCAATAACTCGGTACATTGCTGGGCAACCGAACTTCATGGTACAGAGCAAATATACATTTCGTCACCTCTATAATACTTGACAAAGTTGAACGCATGATGATTTCCTCATACATTGATCAACACCAAATGGTTAATACCTAATCATTCAAGGGCTAAAGCCTCTTTAAATATATCAATCATTGTCACGTGTAGAGATACCTCATAACACGGCTTTCCAAGGTTTTGCGTTTCTTACGGTAGAATCGAGCGCTCGACTGGGTCTTGTGATAGAGCGTCTATAAGAGTTGAGTTGTACGAAAACGATTATGGTTTTATTGGCTACTTATGCACTGTTTCGGTGCTGAGAGGTTGAGTTGTGATGAGTCAGCTTGATATTTTTGCTATTTGATCACCTGTCGCCCGTAATGTTGTTAATCATCCAGTAATTTGAGCAGACATAAGACATAAGTTTATCCACTTGTCCTTGTTGTATGCCAAAAATCATCGGCAGGTTTTGCTAGGTGAAGGAGGCAAGAGCAGCCCGACACTTTTGCTATAAGAAGTTCTACTTTTATTCTCCTTAGCGAAGAAATATAACAACAGATGGTCTACCGTGGACCAGTAGAATTTAGTTAGGCAAGTCCTTTACGTTCACAATCAGAACTTTTGCCGTCAAGAATTAGATTCTAACACTTTTAGAGAGCTTTCATGTAATGGGATGTATCGGAAGTTCTAGTATTTCCTGAAATAGAAAGCCATTTTTTGAAAGACGAAAATAGTGTTTGAAGACCGTTTTTTCCTCAAAAGTAAGTACTGAAAAAACGTGAGTGCTAAACGAATGAATTGAAGAAAAAGTCCGTGAGAAAAGTAGCACTAAAGTAAAAAAGAAGATAGAAAATATGGTGCCGAAGTTTGAAACGATGGTAGACGAGACATGTGAGAGAAAGAAGACTATTACCTAATACAAAGCCAAGCATGAAGTGTTGAAGAATGGATGAATGGATGGTTTAATGAATGAATAAATGAATGAGTGAATAAATGAGGGAATGAATCTGTGAAGAAAAAGGTAAAGGATCAAAAAGGCAAATTAAAGGAGGAAATAAAAAAGTGGAAGATTTACTAAATGGATTGTGGATTGGATGAATAATTGACGGATTTCATGCAAAAGCATTGGACTCTCACTCTGGCAACTGAGCTCTGGATTTGGAATAGAATCACTGCATGAATAAAGGAACGTATGAAGACTAAAAACGGAAAAGCGAAAGACAAAATAATGAAGGAGCACAAGGAAGAACGTCAATATAAAAGATGGAATAAAATAGTACAGTCAAGTAATCGTGAACATTTTTCTCGCTGTCACATGTTTCTTCGTCGCAACACATTGTTTCTTTAGGATTCGAAAATATTAGTTGCTTTTAGTAAGAATAAAACGAAACGTTTGAGAAGAAGATTGGTGTTCGCATAGGAACAATTGACCTTTTACAGACTCACGCACTAAACGGCGGAGACTGTAATGTGATGTTGTATAGACGACGAGAAAAAATTGAGAAAAAAGGAAAAGAGATGAAAATGAATGACGTGCATCATGACAAGCTTGATACTTGACTGGCGATTACGTTGTGACTGATCAGAACAGATTGCAAACGCCCTGATGGGTTGTTCATGTTGTATAATCGAGTCGTAGAGTCGCGAGAAAGAAAAGGGAATCCTTAGAAAAAATGCTAATGAGTGGTTATTCCACTTAGAGTACGATGTCAGGTCTACTAGTATAGGCTGTCAGGTTCTGTAACAAAAGTTTGAAATCCTGTAGCACTTCTCTAACTTCGAGACTTGTGAAACAAATTGCTATGAAACAATGCAATCAGAGCCTTTTATCCAATGCCCTAGACTGCTTACTCACGTGCAACTCTGGATTTCTGGTTTTTTTTCTTCGTTTGTCTACATGATAACCGTTTGAACGAGAGGCGAGTGGTTAAGGCTGTAATAGACGTAGTAATCCATTTTTTATTCGTTTGGGCGATTGGTGAAGACGATGCGATAGAGTTTTGTATAGTATAGAGAGATAGAACTCATACACGTACAGCATCTTCATCAGCATTTCGTGAAACACCGACCGCTTACATTGAGAAAAGTAAAAACAGTTACAATTGCATCTTCACTAATTCATTCTACTCAGAAAGCCCTAGCTCCGCTATCTCCAAGATTGTAAGAAGAATCGATTCAACCGGGGTTCTATGACATTCATAAAGAAGACGACAACCTCAAGGAGCAACCGAGGCAACGGGCGAAATATTCTTAGAGCATTCTAGATGTTGCATGCGGGAAAACGAATCGAGTGCAAAAAGTGCTAGGATCCGCCTAGTAGACGTGACGACGGATCATGTAAAAGGAAGACAAATAAAACAGCTTTGCTATAATATAATATAATGGTATCGTCAGCATATTAAAGCTTACACGTATTGAGTGGATTCATCTGCTGACCGTGAGACATTCACAGTGAACTTCTTTTGATGTAAATTACCTACTTTGTTTATTTCTGCGATAGCAAGCCTCAGCGAAGAATTATCTAGGCTCCGTCACGATTTTGACTTAAACGACAACTTTCTTGGTGGGCGAAAGATTTTCTTTCCATTCATTCTGGAAACGGCTTCAGGGGTTATAAAGGTTGTTCTAAAGTCTTCAACACAAATACTCATCGACCGTTGTGTATCAGGAGAGAGGAGAATTTGACACTTTGCGTCTTAGTTACGACTGTTGCAAGACGGTTCCTGTCATTAGTTCACTTTAGGGAGGCACTGACGCTCTACCATGTTACCGTTAACAATTCGGGACCAAATAAAAACTTAACATGTAACACTAGGCATGAATTAGTAATGATACATTTGGTGAGAAAATGATCGTCTCTTTTACCTTTAGGGCGACATATATTGGCCCATATTCTATTTGATTGATTAAAATAAAAACCATTGGAATCTGCAGATTTGCCTGTAAGGCACAAGTCCTGCTCTCTTATCAAGTACGCCTTCCCGATATTTTAATGCCTATATTTTACGCACACCTCCCAACAGTTTACCGCCTATCGTGGCTGAGAGGTGTTCCTGGGTGGCGGACTGCGATGTACAGCGGGAACTCATCCTCTGGCAGGGTTTCCCAAGCTGAGAAGAGTCCGGCGTTTCCATCGGGAAGCACGGCTAAGAGTAAACCAATACCATGGTCCACCACCGTGCTGATACCAAACTAGTCGCATGGTGGCAAATGTCTCCCTATTACACAAGGCCTGCGACTACCTGTGGTGGAGACGACCTGGGCCAGACTTTGCCTTCGCCAGGCTGACCTCGGGATTCCAGTAACCCAGAATGGCTTAACCAGCAAGTCTTCGAAAAGTGGAGATTATGCTGGAGCCCGTACAACCAGTGAGGACGGGCCGTTCAAGTATCAAGTATCAAGTAAATAAGTGTTTTATCCATAAAAGAAATGGAACAAATAGGTTTTCGCGAAGCTTTATGTGATGTTGTTCATCAATGTATCAGTGCCTTGCTTTAGGAAAACTGAAAACTTTAAACTTGATTTTTTGCTTTCAATTTCCTAAGCACCGTGATCTTAAAGCGACCTAGAAAAATTTAAGAATTCATCACTATTTTTGGATACACTATTAAGGTTAGAAAACAACATCTACGTGGGTAAGGAAATCCATGGATGCATAAGCAGTACGAATTGAATACTTTATCTTTCTAATTTATTTTCTTTTTTTTCTAGAACTTTTCTGTTTTATGCCGCTTCTATTGCTGTTGGTGTTTTTCTGTACTCCAAAGACTCTAAGGTTCCACAAATCATTCATTAGTGAAGCTTTCACAGAATAAATTAGTATGAAAAAAGATTACAAACTCTATTACTTGTCAGATTACTGGGCTTGAATTGGTTTATATTTAACGCCAATTGTTGGAAATCTTCATTTCATTAGGAAGACTTTCCAAGACGTGTTTTAGTTCTTTGAATTGTTTCGCGATCTTTGATCTTTGGAGTGCTTTATTCTCAGTCTTACCTTAATCACAGAGTCATGAAGATTAAACAGACTAGATAGTGGTTGAGTAAGCCAGGCGAGGCCATAACTGGAAAAACGTTATGCTTCTAAGTAAGTTCACTTGTTTTTCATTTCTTTGTTCCATTCAATTCTTCGACGATAAATTGCAGACAGACCATCTGCTGCCCACTGCTGGAGGAAATGACAATGATTTGTCACCGTTCTGTCAAATATGTGAGTTCGACAGATCTTCTACACTGCTGACATATCTGATTGGTTCCTGTATTTTTCTCCTTTCTTCTTTGTTCTCTCTTCTTTCTCTTTCTTCCTTTTTTCAATTTGAATTTTCATGTGACTTCACTTTCAGTAGGAAAATGTTTTTTATCTTCAGCTTCTCTAATTATTCGAACGATAGACGAGCGCTTTTACTCTGAGACAGCGTCTTTCTGCATAGATGTGTATGCATGGATGTACCTTTATATGTAAGTATCTAAGTATATTCTGGTGGGTAGCTCATTGGTCAGAAATGAAGTCTATCAGGAAACAGGCGACGTTCTGACTGGTTCGATACTCTTCCCAACCAACGCTCTTCTCCAGTCCACGTGGGAACATTTTAGCTCGACTATCTCGGAAAATATCAGGAGAATCGACTCGACTAGCATTCTACGTCATGGATTAAAAAAAGAAAATGAAATCATCAAGCAGCAGCCGAAATAGTGCATGAAATGTGCGAAGACATTTTAGGACGTGGATTGCGAGAAAAACGAATCGAATGTAAAAAGTACTGAGATCCGTACAGTAAATGTAATGATGGCTCATACAAAATTAAGTGATCAAAAAATGTAACTCTCATCTGACCGTAGATAATAATTGCCACGCCCACTTGCCATTTCATAAGCTGTGCGGAAGTCAGCGATGTAACCCCGCCCATTCGGTAAAATACTTGCCAAGCAGCAGCAGCGGCGGCAGCAGCCTGCAACATCAACAGCAGCAGTATTGGCGCTTGTGACGAGACGGATTCCTTTATGAATATTACCGTGAAATGATCATGTCTCTCAATACAATGCTCGTAAATTATCGCAATGATGCTCCACGACCTCCGCGACAATAACGCAGTACTACTTTTACTGCAACGATGACGAATCGACTATATTTGTTGCTGGCGACTCTTGTAACGTCATCACTTCATCACACTTATGAGACATCTACTCAGCATCCATTTGTCACACCGAATAACTCCAGTGAAATCGTACTTACCTGTCCACCGGCTGAGTATTTCATTCAGGCTCATATGGCACCCGATTTTGAGTCGCCACATTTAGTTCGACGACTCGATTGGTTTCATGATGAGACGCTAGTCGCGAGTTATCAACAGGTCAGCGGTATTTGCCCATTTTTCTTCCATGCTCCATTGCTGCAGTCTTTCTTGATTGTGCAATTTTGTCTTTCCCTACCGTAACCTAGGTCACTTGCTTTGAGTTTATATTCTCTTCAAGTGCAATCCTTACCATGTATCGTGAGGAACAACACAAGTATCTCAGTAAACTCTTAAAGTGTTTTCATCAGCAAGCATTTAGCTTGGCAGCTGCTCCATTCTTCCACTTCTTCTAGTTCTAATCGTGCACGTTCTTTTGCTCATCCGGTCATTATTCACTTTCTGAATCCGTTCCATTCCTATACTTCTAGACAAGCTCATTTACATAGCTAATTAGCTGCAAAACAATATTAAAAGTTGGATGAATCATGAAGTCATTTTCGCTTTTTCCCTCTTTTCTTTTTTTCTATTCATGCGATGATGACCACGTTAGATATCATCATTGCTTAGTTCCAACTCATAAAACTATCTAAAAATTCTCCATCGTTTTCGAGTTTTTGTGACTCAAAAAGCAGTTTGGTATGGATGTCCATAATGATATTTCTAATTTTGCTAGGTGAAGGATATGAACTGGCTTTATAAGAAATAAGAATGGTTGTTGATGGGATTCGATGCTGTGGTGGGGTTCAAAGTGCTGCATACGAAAGCTTGTTTGTTGGTCTCTTCAGGTAGAAAGACGCTGATGGGAATTACGAAGGATTAGTGTAATTAGTGATTTCTTGTACTTTCATAGATAGAACTCGAGAACAAATAAAAAGGATAGTCTTAGAGGAAGACTGCAAAATCTATTTACCACTCTTTTGCTTGCTTGCGTAATAACCATTACTGAAGTAGAATTCAATTTTCTATTGTTGAAGTGTGTCGCAGGTAGATGACGTGGTTAAAGGAGGAGGCGAGATAGTGAAAGAGTGAATTTTTCTTGACGATGGTGTTTTTTTCTTTGTCCCAGAAAATATAATCGCTTTCATCGGGTAGTGTCGTATATGATGATGTATGACCGCTGTTCGTATGACAATGACGACTTCGGCGATGACTATCTGTCCAGAATGTACGCTGAACTGCACCACATGTTGATGAACATGAAAGCCCTCACCACTATCACTTTACCGTTGAAGTGGTCTGGTCGTCAGCGAAGGAAGACACGTGTGCTTCAAATCACCATATACTTTTCCTGGACTTCGGCGGAAAATTTCGTTTTCACTAACAAACTGTGCAGCGGATGTCGTCTATTTATATTGATAGAGCCTTGCCAAAAACTTGTTTAGAGTTATAAAACAAGTGATATTGTGTTAAACATGGTGTAGTCGAATGTGTTGCTTCATGCAGTAATGATAGAATCGCTTGTGACAGTTCCCAGGATCGACTTTCCATTAACCTCGGCATGGTGATATGATGGGGATGCGTTTTTTTCTTGTTCAGCAATCGCGAGGTAGTTACACAGCACATATTTATTTCCATCGAAAAACACAATACAATACGACAGTAGCTGACGTTTCCGTAGTATCGTCTTCTTCAGAGCCTCGAAGGGTATAGCGACATACAATTTACTAGGTCAAACGCTTCAATAACGCTTAAAAAGGCGAAAAACTCTATGGTAATTACATGATCAGCAGCTTATCGAAAAACTCACCGCTTTTTAGGTGACTTCCAATGAGGTAGTTTAGAACAGCTGATTATAGTCGCATATGGTTGATGACTGCATCACCCCACATAAGAACTTGATGCAAACATACGGGGCTAGGTCGCGTGTGACCTCTGGGCATTCCTCCCTGCTATTCTCCGGATTTGAAATGTGTTTTCAAAAGAAGAACGATAAGTTTTATAGTTTTATTCTTTTGTTGTGATTATACATGACGTTACTCCGTCGAATTCCTTCCAGACTTATCTATCTATCTAATTGCATGAATGGCAACATAAAAGACATTTGAGCTTAAAGAAGTTAAGCTTGAGGGGTTGATTGATTGTCTCCACTCTTGTAGTGAGTACTTTTCAGTTTTGAGGAGAATTATTTACCTCACCAGTGAAGTAGCAGTTCATAGCTTACTCAAATCGGATTTATTTATTGCTGGGCCGTTAAAGTAGTACTATTTCTAATATTATCATTACTGTTATAACTTTCTGGGAGCGAGTGGTGCAGTGATCTGAGGCACCATACAGAGCACATGAGTTCGATCCTCGCGCCCAAGGGTCGCCAAGTGTTCCATTCCTCCGGTGTCGACAAATTGGTAACAGACTTATCTGGGAGGATAGCAGCACTGGCTGGATACATTGGTAGCCCATCGCGAGTCATTGTAAAGACCAAATATGCATTCAATCACCTCCAACGGTGTTTTATGAAGTCGAATGCGTGTCGCATCCCTCAGGTATTGATCAACGCCGAGAGCTTTATCCTTTGCTTTTTTCATCATAGTATTTTGAACAAAGGCTATTTCTGTTATGCTGTAGTCCTTAATATAGCTATCAAACTGCCGAAAAGTTGACGACAATTTGAAGATACTAATGAAGTGCACGGCTTAGTGATGGCAGTGTTTGTTCATTCTTCGGGGCTGAAACATAATTACCTGTTGTATGACAATGTGCTAAAATCACATTAACGTTGATTCTGATGTAGAATGAAGAGTACATATAGGAATAACGTCAACTGGCCAGGTAATGAGATCTGTGAGCTTGCGTTTATTTGTTTATGATCGAGTGACAAGGTTAATCACATGCACATATGCAAATATAGGCGTTATTTGTTTTTTCCTTTGGTTCTACCGTGTTGTCTTAATCAATTGCAAGCCTTTAGTCCACATTGATAACTTTTGTCATCAACATTGCGACCCTTGAACGTCATCATCACATCAATCGTCATGACGATGAACAACGCCAGTAATAACTTCTGGTGGTTGCTCGCCGTTGTGTATCACGGTGTTGTGGCGACAGTAATCTCTGACAGTCAGCACCGTTAAGAAGGCGCTTTAATGTCGGTTTTTCGTAAGTAAACATTAATGATCACAGCATTATATATATATATATATATGTATATATATTTGTGTGTAGAATGCTGCAAGAATTTAACCAGTTCATCGTAGTCAGCATTACTAACGATAGTCATAAAGCATTAGATTAATGGGTACATAGAAGTCATCATGGATGGGCTATTCGAATAACGGCTGATGGACTGGGGTAATGAAATAATGGTTTATAATAAAGTTTCTGTAAGCATGCTGACAAAAAACCTAGAGTGTGATTTATACATTACGTGCTTAAAACTCCACAGTGCTGAAGAATTCCAACTGAATTTTTTTCTTTGGTGAAAATTGAAAAAGCGCTACCGCATTCGCGGCTACTAGTAACTGGCTTTATAGGGAAACTATAAAGCAACATTTCTGAAAATTCTGTAAAAGGCTTTACTGCTTTCAAATCATAGGAGCGGAAATGAAAATGGTAGAATTAAGTACGCTGTTTTCCTTCAATGAGCAAAGATGAGGATGATAATGCAGAATTTATTGCTTAATTATTTGAATATTTGAAAGGCCCGTCCTCACTAGTGTGTCCCTCAGCACAAGCTCCATTTTCCGCAGTTTTACTGGTTAAGCTGCTGTGTTTTCCTGGAGTCTCGAGGTCAGCCCAGCCAAAGTCTGTCTCAGCTCCTCACCACCACAGGCGTTCGCACGCCTTGTGGATTAGAGGGAGATTTGCCACTATGCGACTAACTTGATACCACAACGGTGGTCAACCCTGGTATTGGTTTGCTCTTGGGTAGGCTTCCTGATGGGAAAGCCGGACTCCTTAGCTTGAAAGACCTTGCTGGGGGAATGAATCTTCTCGTTGTATATCGCAGCCCGACAGCGAGGAATGCCTCCAAGTCACGGCGAGGAGGTAAACCGTTGAGAGGATGTCTGCTCGACACAGAATTTATCAGTACACAATAGCTAACATTGCGACGCTTTCGCCTTTTTCAGAGCCAGAAAAGGTGAAATTGACATGCAATCTACTCAGCCAAACAGTTTCATAACTTTAGCGGATTAGTGTTAACATATCAAATTGCATTCGTGTAATAAACAGTTTTGTCTGCTGTGTTTTTAAGCTTTGTTCATTATGTTTTTAAGTTGTTTATTATGCGAATGCAGATATGTTAAGTCTATGTTAAGTCTTATCCGTTAGGGTTATAAAAGTGTTTGGCTGAATAGATTGCATGTGAATCTAACCTTTCCAGGCTCTAAAGAAGGCGAAACCTCCGAAACGTCAGCTATTGTGTGCTAATAAATTCTGTAATGCTAAATTCGTGTTTGCTTATTGAAGAAAAACAGTGGTTTATCAATTAATGTCGTGATTAATAGAAAGTTAGTCGGGAAATTCAATTAACTTTTTTTAGTTCTATGGTTAATTCTATCCCGATGTTTTAACTCTTAGAGGTTTAGTTAGCTTAGTTACTTTAAACTCTAACTCTTAAAACTCTTTTTATTGATTAACATAGTTTTCAAACCGTTAGTGCGAAAAATTACGCCTAGGCATTAAAGTAGGAAGGGACAACGAATGAGCTCAGCTCGATAGAATTATAGTCTTATAGCTTGAAGTTTTTCTCTTCATCTTATAAGTTAGAAATCATCTTGATGATAGTCATTCAAACTGTTGAGATGGCGAAACTCGATGGAGATCAGTACCACTGCTTCACTTAACGGAGGAAATTGTATTTGTCTTATTGCCCATCGTTTATAGACTGAAGTAGCCTCGACTGCGTTACTGCATTAGACGAGTCGCATTAAATGTGTCTCTAATGGATGGCGTAAAATCTCCCAACACGACCCCGCTCACTCGTCGATTCCCACCGTCCCCACAACCCTCATCCCATAAAGTTCTTCTCGCCTTCCTTAGCTTCATGAACGCTCATCAAACAGTGGCACAATCGAGTGTCAGAGCTACGGGAGCTATTTGTAGTAAAGGTAGCGACAGCGGTAATTACAGACAGGTGATTATCAAGTTGCAATCCACACAGACCTGTTTTACCGGCATGACATAGGTATGGTTATATTCGACTGCGAAAACACATTCGAATATCCAAAACAACTGAGAGAAATCGAAACTGTGACGTCATGAAA